ACATCTTCTGAGTGCGGACATGCTCCGGAACGCTGAACTTATCCTTGGCCGTGAAAAACAGGTTGCCGGGGATCTGTTTGAAGTCGGCCTTCACATATGTTTCGTCGTCCATGATGCAGCATTCAACTTTCGTCAGCATGTTGAGGTACAACTTCCTGGCACGGGTTTTGGCGGACTTGTTCTGCTTCTCGTCGCTATTAGGGGCCTTTTGTACCTTGAACGTTCGAAGCCCAGCCTTAGTTTTGGCCTTCTGGACAAAACTTCGGCTTAGGTGCAGCTTCTTAGCCACATCCCTAACGGAGGCGTTCGGATTTCGGTTGAAGGCCCCAACTACGCGGTTGTGATTTTTGGTGTTGTACGGAATACTTTTTCCTTCACTTCTGGGCTTCTGATCGGTGGTCAACCGTTCCTCGAACCGCTTAATCACTCGCGACACCGTGGAATTCGCGATTCCCAACGTTTTAGCGATGGAACGATGCGAGAGATCCTTGTTCCCGTGATGAATGCGCAAGATTTTATCACGCACGAGCTGTTCTTTCGACTCCATTTCCGCGAGTTTTGATCACAGGACTTTAAAACTTGCAGGATGTAAATAATGCACTATGAACTAAATCCACCCAAATTTTCATTAAATTCTACCCAACGGTTAAAAAGTTAGAGCAATTTCATAGTGTGGCAATTTCATCGTGGACACCCTTTACTATTAGGTCAACTGTAAAACGCTGTCCAGACTGGAGAGTTATAACATGTTATAACGGTTGTCAAATAATTGCAACACAGAAACCACCATCAAGATAGCGCTATAACATGTTATAACTCTGTAGTCTGAACGTACTATAAGGCTATGCTGAATTTAGAAAATGTGGCTCGCTCAAGGGGTAGGTCACTCCGCACACCAATTTTGGGTCATCTTTTTTGTCAGTGTGCCGCAAGTATGCCGATTGAGCCGGTCATAGAGCAAGCTGCTATTGTTTGTAAAATACCCATCCCGGCAACCCGGTATTTCTGACACCTTGAATGTTTTAGTTTGAAATCGCAAGGATAAATTGGATTAAGGATGACGCGGGAAGTGGCGGGTGTGAGAAATTTTGGTGTTTTGTGATCCATAGAGTAATAAAAGTCCTGTGTTTTAGTGTTTTATAATGCCCGCAAAGGCAGACCAAGTACCTAGCCTTTCGGCCGAAAAGAGTTGGAACTGGTGGGGAGCATTGTTGGAGGCCGACTTTAGAGGGTAATGAATAGACTTCTTTAGTGAGTTGCAGCATTTGAACTAAGGGTACTAATGAGGTCTGATTAACTGCCTCTTCCTCTTGAGTCCACTCTAGAACCTACATTTCGTATTTAGATCTATAAGTGAACTGCTGGTCTGAGTTCCTCTAGTATATTCAATTAGAAGATGTTCTTGAACATACAGTCAAACAGCACGTAATGTTCTGAACAACTTCAATGACAGTTTTCCAGCAGTGCCCCCTTTTGTATTTTACAACAATCTTATGCCTACGAGATTGTGCCGAAGGAAAACCGAAAATGTGCCGATGGATGTGCCCAAGCTGTGTAGAATATAATTCCAGCACAATGTGCTGAGTGACTTACCCCTTGGGCTCGCTGCAGAGTGAGTTTCGGTGCGTTCAGCGGTTCCCTCCTAAGATTTTTTTTGTTTAGCAAGAGCCTCGCTAGAGCATTTGGGCATGCAGATGATCCAACTACAACCACAGTCGAACTGCAGATGCGAAGCATATCTGATCTGAATAGCTCTTTAAATATATTTGAACCACTAGCAACAGACAAGCAAGCAGTTAATAATTGTGCAACATAGATTTCCAGATTCCAATCCGGCTCATCCAGAGATTACGAGCTATCTTCTTGCAGGGATGGCTCTAAGTCCGCACTTGAAACTCGACGCGTCGATTACACTAGTTTACAGCATTTTTGAACTCGGTAAGGTGATGATCATTTCCAATGCAAAATCCTACGCTGAATTCAATGCCGTGGTCAGAAAAAATTAAAGTAGAGCCATTTTTGAGATATACAAAAAATTTGATTTTTTGAATTTTGGACAAAAGTACTATTACTAAAATGTCAATATCTTTGGAACTAGTGCACCAATTTTAAATATTTTTTTATGAAAGTGAAGCTAAATAAATTTGCTATCGTTCACTAGAATAATATGTCTTAATTAAAAATTTAATTTTGAAGTCATTTAAAAATTTACATCATTTTTTTTATTTTTCCTGCGAATTTTCCATAAAAATTTTGTTTTAATCAACATTTTTAATGGGATAAAAAGATTCAAAAAATCATTCCATAATTTATTCTTAAAGTCCATTCAAAACCGGAAAAAATGAGCATTTAATGGATGAAATCGGTTGGTAATTGTCGAAGTTATGAGCATTTTTGTAAAACACTTAAAAATGTTGCTGAAATACAACAGCTTTAGAGTTCCTTTTCTAGGTGTCGTTGTAAGCATCCAAATCGCATGTAAAGTTTTCATGGGAGATTCTTTTCTCTAAGTATCAATTTGATTAAGGCATATCAGGATTTAAAACCGAGTTGATACAAAAGAAATTTATTTAGGTTTTATTAAAAATGATTGAGAATCGAATGACTTTGTCTTCGATGTTTTGAACTTGTTTCTCGAATCAGAAACCAACAATAGTCACCCATCATTGCTTCATCCCAAAACCCTTGGTAACGACGTTCCATCATCTTCATTTGTTGGTGAAAACGTTCGCCGTGCTCATCACTCTCGTCACCAAGATTTTCCGGGAAAAAATCCATGTGAGAATGTAGGAAATGTATCTTCAAAGACATATTCACACCTGTGTTCAGTGAAATAAAAGGATTTGAAATTAATTATATGTAACAAACACAATATTTTTGATTTATACCTATTTTCTCATAATTTTTGAGCAATTCATCGACGGCTTCCTCATAATCTGGGCTTCTGAAATTTCCTAAAAAGGTTGTGACAACACGCTGGAACGATTTCCACGCTTCTTCCTCATCTGGTGTCAAAACTGTATTGAATGCGGAATCATTGAGCAGTTTTTTGATCTGTGGGCCAACAAATACACCTTCCTTTATCTTTGCGTCAGATAAATTTGGAAATACTGATTTCAAGTACTGGAATGCCGGCCCTTCTTTTTGCAACGCTTTGACGAAATTTTTGAAAAGCCCAAGTTTTATATGTAGTGGTGGAAGTATTATGCGTTCTTTTACCACAAGAAGATCATTTTTAACGTTCTCTTTACCAATTGTGAAATTATCCCGTTTTGGCCAACAAAGTTAACGATAGCAAATTTATTTAGCTTCACTTTCATAAAAAATATTTAAAATTGGTGCACTAGTTCCGAAGATATTGACATTTTAGTAATCGTACTTTTGTCCAAAATTCAAAAAATCAAAATTTTTGTATATCTCAAAAATGGCTCTACTTTAATTTTTTCTGACCACGGCATTGAATTCAGCGTAAGATTTTGCATTAGAAACGTTGGTCAACCACTAAAGTTCACACATTTTATGTTGTTTTGTAAACTAGTGTTACATGATCGTCGTTTATTTTTCCATCCTTTCCAGCTCTTTGCTTGCTTTAGTTGTACAGGATTTCAAAGGCGGCATTTTCTTCCTCTATCGATCAGGTTACGACTTCGTTTCTGCACACTTTCAAGGAATTAGTAATTCAAATAGACATCGAGTAAGAATCTTGAGAAACTGTCGAGTTTGCTTGAACACCAACTTCCAGTTTCTCTTTGACCTCCCGCTCTGAAAATTAAAATTTAAACTCAATAACAAATGTTATTATAACCTCAATGCTGTCAAACTCATGGGATATTGATATCTTGATTGGCAACCTTCGACCTATTTCAGCACATTCGGTATAGCGCTTGGCACAGATTAAGGTGTGCAGAGTTGAATCCCCCCTGCAGAAATTGGATCTTAACCCTACTTGTCTGCCTTTTTTTAGTATATTTGATTGAAATTACGAGAATATTTTGTATATTCATTCTTCAACATCGATTAATATAAAGGCCTCTCTCACTGAAAGCGACCCGGGCATCCCGGATCCTAAATCCGTCACTTAGTGCTCGGTTTTAATTAAGAAACCCAGCTTTCGTAAACCAAACATCGGTACGGATGAATTCTGCTTTTTTCAATCGCATCAATATTTGATTCATAAGTTTGGAATACGTAAATTGATAATAATGTTTGTTGCTGTGTACCATTCAGTTTATTTCCCATGTCTGGTTTTTCTACAGCTCACTTCGTATAGAAAACCGTGAAACTCTTGGTGGAACTAAATTCACCGATTGGGAGTGAAATGAATCCGATAAATCCGCAACTCTGCCAACCACGTGCTTGGTTCGAGCTGCTGCTCGAACACCATAGCACACTTGTCAACGTTTACCCTGTTGTGTTTTGACGCTTCTCATCTCCCGTTCGGCAGTTTTGTTTACCTCCAGAGCCGATTGTGATTGATGCGTACTCTCGGGAAACCCGGCTGCAAAGCAACCGAGGACAGATAAGTCAAGAGTGCAAAACTTTTTTTGCCGACCTATTCGACAGCCTGTTCATTCTGAGTAAACATTATTCTCGTCGCCAATCTGCGTTGGTGATTTTTTTTTTGTTAGTTAGATATTGAAGCTAATAAATGCCAATCTTTTTTTCGTAGCTCCTCGGTCTGCCCGTGAATGGCCTCGAACGCGCTACTGGGCAAGCTTATTTTGGCGCTTACACTGTCGGTGTTTTCGTACTATTTCTTCTGGGTCGGGGTACTGCCGTTCATGGTGATTGATTCAAGTGAAGGTAGGTGATTTTTGATTCACATATGTATTTTCTCGCTCTCGACAGCCTGCAATAGACTAAACGGATCCAATCAAGCAGCATCATCAAACTGTTCATCACAGCCATTCAATTCAAATACAGCGAAATGGCGTGCTAAACTCTTGATTCCTGTTGTATGGTGTGTTCTGTTGCACAACAATACTTGTCGTTCAATTTTCTGTATGCACATATCAGTGTGAATGAAGTCATTTAAGCTTGGTTTACTCTCGTAGATAGTTGGATTTACTCGTTGTTTCCCGAGAGGAAGTTAGCCTTTATGGTGCCAGCTGTTTTCGGAGTGCTATTCATCGGAGGCCTGTCCGTTTTTACACTCTATCACTTGAGAGGTCAGCTTAGGGCCAGTCGCGATTGAGGAGCGTAAACGGTAAGTACGAACTAGTGATAAGGTGATTTGAAGTGTTTGCTTTGTGATCAGTTGTAGTTCAAGGTCACGAAAATAACATTATTATTTCGTTACTAGTTGTTAGGTGGTTCATGGCCAGAGCTGGAATCCCGCGGGTGTTCAAGATTTGGCGATACGTACGTATCGAGTGTGTTTCAGTTGCTGTAATACAGCTTCATTCATCCCATTTGAAAAACAGATTAACTTATTAATCGTGATCATTTTAAGCGATGTTTTAACTTCGTTGGCCTGAATGTGGCGATGATGCTAGAAAAGTATCGAAATCATTTCTGAAACTAACATACGGCATACGAGATAGAGAGCGTTCAAACGTTGCTTTCTGTTGATTACATTATGCAGCATCAGTATGTGCCTGTGTCTTTCAACCTGTTGAAAATGGTTGAACTCCACAAGATACAGAAGTCTGTATTTTGAAGATAATCTTATTCCTAAATTATTCCTTATTCGGCGATATTTTTAATTTCTGCCGCAATATTTATGTAATTTGTGCATTGAAAACGATTTTCTGTACAAAAAGTTTTTCTTCATTAAAATCAAAAATAATAAGTTATGAAAAAATAAGTTCAAAAGTTTTACTAAAAGTTGATGTTCTACAATTTAGATCAACATTAAAGTGTACATTGTGTCCAATATCAGAAATTTTAGCATGTTTGTTAAGCTTTCAATTAAACATAAGTTTTCAAACCCTGAACATGTACTTATGTTGTTATTGAAGTTTTTAGCATTTATTTTTAAATTTTTTTGATGAGAATTTTGAGTCTTTCTTTTTAACAACTTTGTCTCAGACTTCATTTTGTTGGTTGGCGTGAATTTGCTAGGGTAGATTACCTTTTCGTGGTTCTACCACTGCTTCCATATCAAAATCTGGCTCTCTTGTTGCATTTTGCTGGTTTGGTATTATGACAGTTGATATTAACTCTACATAAAAGTTAACCTAACTGATGATGAGAACTTGTAACAAATCAGTAAGTTACAAAACAATAGATTCATTTATAATCTTGCTATGTAATAATGTATCTCTGTTGTTACCAATATTATTTGAAATTATCGGGGATCTTATGCCCTTTTGAGTTAAATTAATGAAATTGAAGCAACATTTTAGCTGGTTCTTATGCAGGGTGTCTACTCATGTTACTTAATAAAATTTCATGAGATTTCCAGGTTTTTTTTTTCCAGAACTTTTCAGATTATGTCCATGCTAGAAGCTAGAAAGTAGTTTTATAATTTTTCTGTGTCCAGGATATCGAAATTTTGTGTGATTATTTCTTTGAAATGCTCCTCACAATTTACTTGGAACTCTCTTTTCAATTTTCTAAAAGGTATCACCGGAATATCTTTGAAATTCCTTAGAAATTTCCAGTTAGAACTATCCTCGGAATTTCCTTGGAATTACCTTAAAATTTTCCTTTCTCTCTTTCCAACTCTTTCCAAAAGAGTTTTTTGAAATACTCCTAAGTATTATTTTCCTTTAAAATGTAAACCTCACATTAAATTTATTGCATGGTTAGTCGTTCTATGGACCCTATTTTTGATTGGAATTTTATTTGTTAATCATTTTCAAGATAATTTGAATTTCAAATTAAAATGCATAATGTGTTAAAAGAATAGTTCAGAAAAGTTAGGACACTTTTATTCGATAAAATCTCAAAATGTAAGGGTGTTTTATTATGTTCACTGAATGCTTAGAATTTATACTAGGATGAAAAGAAATAACTGAAAATGATACATTGTAATTTTTTTTCAAAGAGTACAAACAATACCCCCTTAGCTTAATCGGCAAAGGCACAGCTATGAATTTAGTCCATGCTGGAGACGACTGGGTTCAATTCCCGTTCGGATTGGTAAATTTCTCGAATTCCTTGGGCATAGGATGGTACGGGCTAATTTGTAAGCCGGCCAAAAGCTAATATGCTACACACTATGAAAAAGACATGTAAATTTCAGTGCTCTGAGACCGACACATGCAAGCGGCCTTTTTGACATAAGATCAATTGAAAAGGATGGGAAAATCGATTCAATCAAACGCACTTTTCGTTGAGTTGCACATGTTTAAGTTTCAGGACACTCAATTTTACATGCCATGTTTGTTTACGTTACATGAGCAATCAAAGCTGAATTACGTCTCGTGTAAAAATAATAATTTCTAAGTGTGTAGCTGAATTACGTCTCGTGTAAAAATAATAATTTCTATGTGTGTATAAGTAATAAGATTGAAATGGGATGTAGTAGAAAAACAAGCAAGTAATAGTGTAAGAGTAGTGTGTAAGTGTAGTAGTATTTTTAAGCAATGAAAACAGTTTTTTATTCGTCACGGATTAGTATTTGAAGCCGGGAATTTCTTTTGAGACATTTCAAGCTTAGCAGCTAATTGCATGCTCTCAAGTTAGTGATCTAAATGCACTTCCACAGTTATTAATTTTATATATTAACTAACTAATTATGTTGAGGCAAATATTACTGTGATTTAAAAGTATACTAGAATAAAAGTGTACTACACCGTTTGGAGTTCAGCATGATAGTGACGTTTCAAATTTTATTTCGCATTCTTTGCACCTATCGAACGGTGACAGGTCACCCAATCGAACTGATCAGACTCGAGTCCGCTTCGTTGTTTTCCGTTAAACGTATTTTGCACGCATGGTAATCGCGAATACTACAATCTCAACTTCTTTCGATCGCACGGTTAATACCATAATTAATTGAGAGCTTGCGATGCCAATACCAATGCATGAATTTGTATATTGTGTGGCAAGCTCAATGATGATACTCTATGCCCAGGGAAGTCGAGAAAATTTCCAACCCGAAAGATACCCTCGACTGGACCGGGAATCGAACCCGCCGCCTTCGGCTTGGTAATACCGTGTCTTTACTGACTAGGCTATGCGGCCTCCCTATTGTTTATCAGCGAGATTTTTAGCTCGTTGGCTGCAATATCAATTGTTTTTGTCACTCAAAAGACTTATATTCATTTATGAGAGGGGGCGCCTTTGGAGAAGAACATCACAATTTACACTTAACAAAGAACACGGATGTATCACAAAGGATCAAGTATGATTATGACCCGATAAAAAAAACATCTTTGATTTATGACCTACACGAAGAATAGGAAATCATATGAAATGAAATGTAGTTAAAGGCAACGAAGATATGGCTTCTGTCAAGATGCAACTTCCAGAAATGTACAAAGTACAGCTTATTTGTTGCAGGAACAAAGATTTCATCATATAGTAGTCATACCACTGACGAACCGACGTGACAACTCATACAAGCTACTTTTAAATTCGTGCCCAAGACGCCATATTTAAAATACGTTAAACACTACCGACATCTACTCATCCGATCGTGTCATACCATGAACAAGGATACGAAGCCACGTATAATTTATATTGCATTGGTTTGCGTCTCACTTCGTTTGACAGATCTGATCGCCCGTTTGAAAGATCGAATCGCTCGTTCGACAATTCGAATTGTGGAAAAACGAATGCTACTGTGGCATGTCGGTTCGTCCGTGGTCATACCTTCAAGAATGTTGCGAATAGCCTTGAGCAATTAAGCATGCTTTACGTTCAAGCACCTTTCCCTCAGCATTTCTCTTCACGTTGTTTATCCATTTACTGATGAAGGGTTTGCGACCCATAAGTTTACACAGCTCTCACAGCAGCGTGAGATTTGAGTTCATAGACCATCGCCGCATACCACTCCTCTCGTTAATTTCCAGCCATGGCTTAAGTCAGAATTCTACAGGATCCGTGGTTTTTCGTGGCAAGCATAATCAATTTGCACATTCACCCTGGGCTTTGGTAAAACCTTGACGTAGTTTAATTAGGCTAATAGGTTCCAGGGCTGATCTGGATCTTTACCACATTGGAAAGGTGTTGATGCTTACCAAAAGTGCATTTGAACCCGCTTAAAAAAGCATATTAACAGATTAATCATCACCGTACATTGTTCATTGTTCTGTACTAAAATAAACGATTAAGCACAGCATTTGAAATTTAAGTATGAATGCTGGATTTAGTCACAGTAGTCACAATAGAAATCAGCTGCTTCTTTTTAATACATCCTTTATTAAATTGGATTTATTTCTGTGAGTATGCACGTTTGGAAAGTATTACCACAAAGATTCTGCACTCGGTCTACAGCTTGTGAGCGGGAAGCGTTGTTTTTTTTTATCTATTTACAGAGTAAATTCTTAGAAATTCGAAGCAAATGACTAACCAAGCATTAAGCACATGACCTTCAAGAAAACCAACAACACAAAGTCTGGAAGTGGCAATGTTTCATTCAAAACGTCAAGTATTTCAAGAATATCGGGTGAGACCAATCTAATTGTATTTAATCTTATTTTTGTGTAGTAGGTTATTCAATTGAACCGCTCCGGGTTATAATGATGCTGTATAATGTTTTAAGCATTTTTCCTTAATTTGGGATATGAGGGTTTAAAATTTATGGATTTTTTTCTTTTTGGTGTTCGGCGTTTAGAAACTAGGCGAGCACGCTACGAGAAGTATCGTCAATTTTAAGTAACTCAAATTTTATTCAAAGCAGAGCAAAACTCTCAGTAATGAATTGATGTATAATTGAATAACTTATGCAAATTTCAAATTATTTCCAGCTCACTTATTCTATATCATTTTGTAACATCGTGGCCAACTATATATAAAAAAAACATTCAACCACCTACCTCAATCTAATCATTATCCCTTCCCACGGCAATTCCCAAGCAACAATTTTTGTTTTATTGAAGTTCTATAGCAGTTGATACAACCAAATTATAAAACCTTCACTGACGACCACATTGCTTTAACAACCTCCTGAGAACCGCTATACAGCCATGTCATGGCCAATTGGCCCAGTTTTAATGCATTCATTATAACTTGATATGCGAACTACCTTAGGAGCAAAGGTTTTATGTTAGTTTTATCACACTCTACACGTGGTTGTCAAAAATGCAAACATAA